TGGCCTCCCCACCCTGAGGGTGCCTGGTTCCCCAGGCACTGCCCTGCCCCGTATCTAACCCATTAAGATAAATCCACGTGGTCTTTCTCCCATGGCTTCTGTCTTCTGTGAGTTTGTGACACAGGAGTGGGGGGAGGAGTCAGGGCTGGGCTTGGGGCCCTTGAGAGTAGGCCAGGGTGCCACACACTCCACGGTGGGGGACAAAAAGAAAGCGAATGAGAAAGGGAGGCCTGGTGTGTGCAGGGAAGGAGCATGTGGCCAGGGTCCTTGGGGGCCAGAGGCAGAACCCGGGTCCAGCCCACTTTCAGAACTTGCGCGAGGACCTGCACACCTGGTTATCAGAGCACGAGTCAGGATGAAGAGGGGGCCCCTGTCCACACCCCCCTTACCTTCACAGTCCTTCTGCCCCTAGGGATACCCCATGCATAGGCTTAAATATGCAGCCTGCACCCCCAAGCTTTGTCTCCCACCAACCCACGGGCGGGGCCTCAGGATATGGCTTAGGCCATGTCAGCCAGGGAGGCTGTGGGGCTCTGGGGTGGGCTCTGAGCTGAGGGTAGGTGTGAGCACAGAGGGGTGGGCTCCGGTAGACACTTCTGGGGATCCTTGGACTCTACCTTATGGGAAGGGCTCAGGCAAATCTGGCCAGGCTGGCCCTTTCAGGCTCAGGGCATTGGAGGGAGTTGGGAGTAGTGGTTTCTCCAGGGTTTTGGTCAGGGTCACACCACAGTCAAGAGAGCTGGTCCCAGGCAGGGGTTTGCACAATGCTGCTGTGGACATTTCAAGTCAGAGCGAGCTGGGTTATGAAATCGTTCCAGCAGGTCCCGGCCACGTGAAAATAAGAAGAAATGAAGGCATAAGAAGAGAAAGCCTTAGGCTGGGTGTGCAGATGAGCTGAGTGTATGCCCAATATGGCCAGAAGTTCCACTTTGAACCCCAGTGCCCCAGAAAACCAGTCATGGTAGAACATGCCTGGAATCTCTGCACTTCGAAGGGCCAGAAGTTCAATGCCCTTGGCTGCATATCTCAAGGGTAAATCTAGCCTGGTCTACATGAATCTCTGTCTTAAAAATAACTAACTAGGCCGGGCAGTGGTGGTGCACGCCTTTAATCCCAGCACTCGGGAGGCAGAGGCAGGCAGATCTCTGTGAGTTTGAGGCCAGCCTGGTCTACAGGGCTACACAGAGAAATCTTGTCTCAAAAAACTAAAAAAGCGAAAAACAAAAACAAAAAACTAACTAGGCTTGATGTAGTATTGCACACCTGTAATCCCAGAGCCCGGGGGGGGGGGGGGGTGGGCAAAGACAAGAGAATCTCTGTGAGTTCAAGTTCAGCCTGGTCTACATAATAAATTCTATTCAAATTAGAACTACATAGTGAGACCCTGTCTCAAAAACAAGTAAAAAGGAAAACAAAGAAACCTAAATAAATATAAGGAAGAAAATGTCAGTGTTTCATGTAAGAAATAAATTGCTCCAGGCAGATGGCCCAATGGGGAAGGTGCTCCCACAGAAAGACCTGTGTTCCAATCCTCCAGTGCTCACATAAGAAGCCATGCAGGAGCCAGCAGTGGTGGCACACGTCTTTAATCCCAGCATTCGGGAGGCAGAGACAGATGGATCTCTGTGAGTTCAAGGCCAGCCTGGTCTACAGAGAGTGTGCCAGGACAGCCAGGGCGGCACAGAGAAACCCTGTCTCAAAACACACACACACAAACAGAAGAGCCAGTTGTGGTGGCTCACACCTGTAGGCCCAGCATTGGAGGAGACAAGCTAGTCTACTGGAAAAACAGGCCAAGTTCAGTGAGAGATCCTGGCTCAAAAACTAAAGAGAAGGGGCTGGGAAGGTGGCTTAGGTGTTAAGAGGGATACTGATTTCCAGGACCAATGTCTGGTGACTCACAACTCCAGCTCCTGGAGCATTTGGTGCCTCCTTCTGCAGTCTGTAGTCACTGAACCCAAGACACACACACACAACACACACACACACACACACACACACACACACACACACACACACAGTCTCTCTCT